GCTCTCTAGCCCTCTGCTGGGAATCCAACAGCACAGAGGGATTTCCCATATCCACAGGGAGATAGTACTTCACTTGCTAACACGTTCCAGGTGTTATCCCTGCCCGCTCGCACCAGGCAGGGCAGGGAAGCCCTGGATGGTTCTTGTGCCTGTAAACAGAAGCGATGCGTAGCTGCTCTGCCTGGCCTCTGTCACACAGGTGTTCCCACGGGACACAAGGCTGCCTGTGCTGTCAGCACCAGACTTCTACCAGTTCAGTTCACCTTCATGGTTATCGCATCATGTCAGTGTTATGAAGTTCCTGTATGCAAAACTAGAGAAAAGCAAGACTTGTTCACATGCAGGTTTCTATCAATGGCCCCACACCAACTCTCTCCAGTCAGAGTCATGCCTGGCATAGCTTTGTAGGTGAAGTTTGATCCAGAGCAGAGACACACCAGCACAATAGAGCCAAGCTACATAAAGAGTATGAAGAGGAACTGAGAGGCACCAAACCTGTGGGCTTGAAGGCATGGGTTACATCAGACCTGTCTTCCCACATGGAGAAACAGCTGATAATCACCATGCCTTAGCTATTAGAAGTAAGAGGAGACAGACTCTGCTTCCAAGCCTATATAGGCACAGAGAGCTGTGTGATGAATGTAGAAAGAAAAATCCAGCCACACTCTGACTTGTGGATTGGCCCAGAGCACAGTCTTGTCGAGAGCTCCCTTCGGAGGATGGTTTGAGTGACAGGAGAAAAGGCACAAAAGCATCCTTTGGGGAAATGTGAATGAATGCTGAGAGCTTCAAGGACAGTATCAAGCCATAATGTCTCACTGATCCTCACTGGTCCTCATTGATTCTTCAGGTGTTCTAAAGTTCACAGCTTTTTCCTCCTTTTCCCCCAGCCCTCCTATGCCTTTGCTGTACAGCCACATAGGTGACTCACACAAATGGTTTGCACCTTACAGCAAACACCATTGTCTCCCTGCTCAGCCTGTTGCTGTTCAGTGCCCCTTTTCTTGGCTCCATTTCCCCTGGAGGGATGGCTTTTTCCATCAGCTCTGCCAAGAATGGTGGTGGTTCTAAGACGCAAACCTACAGCACGTGTTGTAATTCTCACAGACTGTCTCCTGCGCATCAGAAGATGGCTGTGGAAGGCACAGAAGAGGCTCAGTCCCTTAGTACAAGCTGCATTCTCATGGACTCAGATACGGTGTTACTGCACACTGCTGAAGAGCTGTCACACCACCCCAGACACAGCTGCACCTCACTAACAAGTTTAAAATTCCTGTTTTAGCAAATCACAGTGTTTTAGGAGGGAAAAATCATAACAACATCAAATGGCATTACTAATTTACTCAGATAAACCAGTAACTGCTATTGCTGTTGTCTTTGGACCAGCAGTAGAAAAGACCATTTCCATCTTACAGAAAATGAGGATGATTTTGTAAAATTGCATCTGATCTCATGCCTCTAAGAGACTGCGTTTTCATCAGCCATTCCCAAGGGAAATCAATATCCAAGGAACAGAGTGGTGAAATAACTGGTCTACTAGCAGAAAAAGGAGAGAGGGTAAGAAACAACCAGTTCTCAAACCTTGATAATGCAGGGGAACACAACAGATGCCACAACAGTGGAAAACTGGGCAGAGCAGGCCCAGGAGATGTAACACTGTGCCAGCACCACATGTCTAGAACGTGCACTCTCACACAGCCTGGCACCTCTGGGGAATAGGACAGACAGCTGTTAAATAAAGTATGGCAAGAAGCTGAGATTAAGTGAAACACAGCAAGAAGCTGGTATTTCCTTTTCTCTTCCTCTTTTCTCTTAATTGATTAGAAAAAGCAACAAAGCCACAGGCATCAGTATGGAGTTCATACAAGTGTTTCACGCGTCCCTAGTATGTGACTTTTGAGGCTTTTCAAACCAGTATCTCCACTTGCAGCACAAGAACCACAGACACTTCTACCACATCCCTGAACAGACTCTTGTCAACAATTTCCCCAAGCAAGGACTTTCTGTCATAGCCAGAGTCCCATTCACCCAAGTTTCCACTCACCCAAAACTCAGCAAACCTTCCCAGATCTGATAGCCTGGGATCCCCACATCCTTCCCTCCAAGGCTCCCTTCTACCTTGCTCTTAGCTTCAATATAAGCGATCCTAAAATCATAATGCAGAACAAGAGGCTGGACT